CAGTCGTCTCAAAAGATCTGATTTGGAAAATAAATCCGATTGGCCTGCAGTCTGAGACCCATTGGATTCTGAACATTTATTGACCACAGGGTGCGATAGAGGTGATTTTTCACCCCAGTCATTTCAGCCATAGAGAAATTGATCTTAGAGTTCCTAATATGGGCATAACATGAACAGAATGACGCACGACTACAGTGGCCTGTTATTATAACTGATGGTGATAAAATGAAGGCAGGTGAATCTCCACCCTCAGGTGCTTTTTCATGTTCCTGGCAGACACTGTGTGAGCTGTGTGAGCTTCTCTCTCCTCTGTTTTTGTCAGGGGGGATTGTGTAATGTATGTCTGTGTCAGCTGTCAGAGGGCTGATGGATGGTGATGAAGCGGTGGGGGGTGGTAGCGGGGGGTCTGATTGAGTCGGAGCTGTCCCGGAGCGAGCGCTACACTGATTGAGATGACAAACAATACAGCCAGCGTAAATCAGCCACTGAATCAATTCCACACGTTTCTGTCACATGATGAACTCATTTCTCTCCTGATAAACGAGCTCAGCGTCTGTTCACGGAAAACACGACCGAGTTTGCTGACTTTATTATCAGAGAACGTTCTGAGTGGACGTGTATATGCTTATTAGTGGTGATATTTATTTGTTATTCGTTGTCTTCTTCTTCTGCATGTTTTGTTTTCCGACTTGTTCCACAGTTTTTGAGATGTCGGCTCTGAACTCTGACTTGTATGATCTGACTGGGCTGCAGGCTTGTGTACAGCGTGTTGATCGGCCGTATGGTTTTCGTACAATGATTGTTTCATATTTTTTTCCTATTGGAATGAATGGCATAACTTTGGGAAAAAAGTTTGTGCCCCCCACGTGTATCATGATGATGCAATACATTAGCAACACACTAATGCACTGCATCATCAGTGTTAGCAAAACACTGTTGGGATACAATAGCAGCCACCTGCGACGCCATAGCAACCGCCTGGCAACACCCTAGCAACAACCAGAGGTTGCATAGTCCCAACCTAGCATCAACCTAGCAACCACCTGGCAACACCCTAGCAACCACCAGAGGTACCATAGCAACCACCTGGCAGCACCCTAGCAACCAACAGAGGTACCATAGCCCCAACCTAGCAATATCATAGCAGCCACCTGGCAACACCCTAGCAACAACCAGAGGTAGCATAGCCCCAGCCTAGCATCAACCTAGCAACCACCTGGCAACACCCTAGCAACCACCAGAGGTACCATAGCCCCAACCTAGTAACACCCTAGCAACCACCTGAAATACCATAGCAACCACCTGGCAACACCCTAGCAACCACCAGACATACCATAGCCCCAACCTAGCATCAACCTAGCAACCACCTGGCAACACACCAGCAACCAACAGAGGTACCATAGCAACCCACCTGGCAGCACCCTAGCAACCAACAGAGGTACCATAGCCCCAACCTAGCAATACCATAGCAACAACCTGGCAACACCGTAGCAACCACCAGACATACCATAGCCCCAACCTAGTAACACCCTAGCAACCACCTGGAATACCATAGCAACCACCTGGCAACACCCTAGCGACCACCAGAGGTACCATAGCAACCACCTGGCAGCACCCTAGCAACCACCAGAGGTTCCATAGCCCCAACCTAGCAATACCATAGCAACCACCTGGCAACACCCTAGCAACAACCAGACATACCATAGCCCCAACCTAGTAACACCATAGCAACCACCTGGCAGCACCCTAGCAACCACCAGAGGTTCCATAGCCCCAACCTAGCAATACCATAGCAACCACCTGGCAACACCCTAGCAACAACCAGACATACCATAGCCCCAACCTAGCAAAATCGCCTTTAATCACCTTTAAATCTACGTCTTTCCAGGTTATTAATATCTTCAGTTTGCTCTGTTTTATTAGGTCTTTTTGCAGTTACTTTCTCTTTATTGCTGTTTTACTTCATTACTATTTTACAAACCATTCATCTAATAAATATTCATTATCATAGATTGGAGTATATTTCAAATACAAGCATTCAAACATGAATCAAACAATCAATTTCTATTTCTCTCTCTCCCTCTGTCTCTGTCCCTCTCTCTCTCTCTCTCTCTCTCACACTCTCTCGCTCTCTCTCTTTCTCTGCCTCCTCTCTCTCTCTCTGTCTCTGTCCCTCTCTCTCTCACACTCTCTCTCTCACACTCTCTCGCTCTCTCTCTTTCTCTGCCTCCTCTCTCTCTCTCTGTCTCTGTCTCTGTCCCTCTCTCTCTCTCTCTCACACTCTCTCTCTCACACTCTCTCGCTCTCTCTCTTTCTCTGCCTCCTCTGTCTCTGTCCCTCTCTCTCTCTCTCTCTCTCTCTCTCTCTCTCTCTCACACTCTCTCGCTCTCTCTTTCTCTGCCTCCTCTCTCTCTCTCTGTCTCTGTCTCTGTCCCTCTCTCTCTCTCTCTTTTCTCTACCTCCTCTCTCTTTCCTTCGCTCGCTCTCTCTCTCTTCTCTCTCTCTCTCTCTCTCTCTGTCAGTTTTTTCTTTTTTCTGCAGTTTGATTTTGCTCCCTCAGCTTTTATTTTCTTCAGTCTTCTATCTAAATTCAGTTAGTCCTCCTCGCAGACGGAGCGTTTGATCGTGACACGTTGTCTGCGCCTCTCGGGGGGCTTCGCCGAGTCTCCGGAGGGAAAGGCGCGCTGCCTTCAGGCTGCTGCGTGGAGAAAATTGTGTGAAAGTGTTCGTCGCTGTGCTGCTTATTTCTCTCTTTTTTCTTCACTTTAATATAAAGTTTCCTCTGCTCTGCGTTATGTAACAGCGCCTCTGAGTTGCATCACTGTGCCGGATTGCTGAAACATGCTTTATTAAAGCGGCAGAAACATTCATATCCTCGTTTGTGGGTGAGAAAAAGACGCTTTGTTTGTAGTTTTCGTGCCACAGTTTAAATGTTGAAGCGTCTTATTATTCTGGGCCATTTTTACAGTCATAGAAGTTGCAGCTCTAGACTGCATTAGTCTTTCTGTACAGACTCATTATAAGAAACAACACTACATCTTCCATAATTTACTAAAGTGAACAAAGTACAGATGAAATTCAGTCTTTAAAGGGCTGATATGCTACATTTCTGTTGTATTAGATTTTTTCCCTTGAGGTTTATTTGGTTTTATATACCAAAAACAGTCATAATTCATTTTGTGTGACCATTTTCCAGCCTCTCTTTATCCCTTAGAATTAAACAGGCTGTTGTCTTTAAGACTGATATATGTAAATGTGCTCTCTTCTGATTGGCTGCCCTGTACCCAGTCCTATCAAAATGATGTTCAAGCTGAAACACTCCTTATAACTTCAGTGTGCGTGGGTGGGGCTTAACTGCTGTAGGCTGAGTAGGTAAGTGAGTTGGTTCTTGTGACGTCACAGATACAGTTAGTTCAAAAATGGCTGTTTTGCAGCTTAGTTTCCAAATGTGGATCGAGTAGTGAACAATACCTTGTTAATAAAGCAATAAGCCATGAGAGGATGTGCGTTAGTGCAATTGTATCACAGGGAAGGGTGTTGTTAGGCATGAGTAAAACTCCTTTCCCTGTGATAAAATCACTGTAATGCACGACTTCAAGTGGCTTATTGCTTTTATGAAATGGCGGGCAACATAAAATATGATCAAATACACCATTTTCCAGAAAATAATTTAAGTTGTTATGAATAATAATCCACATAAACAAGTATTCCGCCAAGAAATGTAGTTCTTTTAGAGTTTGGTGTCGTTGCCAAGCAACCATGTCCCGCTGAATGAGGAGAATGTTTGGTCGCCCGTCGCTGTATATTACAGTCATTTCATGAATTTTTAAAAACTTTTTGTCATATTATAATAAACATATGAAAACACTGATTAATACACAGATTTTCGCTATATAAGTACTTTCTGGTCACCAAATCACCACCAAGTCTTATTTAGCACCAATCCAGCGGCGCCCTCCTCTCACCCTGGGGCTGAATCTCAAACGGCTCCCTGCTCCCTACATAGTGCACTACGTAGGAGTTTAAACACTGGATCCTGCAGCCCAACAGAGCAAAATACAGCTAAGAAACAGTCATTTGGGTCTCAGACTCATCCAAACTTGATACATGATGCACTGTTTGGCTGTAGAGGCTAGAATTTCTAAACTCTCATAGCTAGAACACTATTTAGGGAGTACGGAGCCGTTTGGGATTCAGTCTGGGTTTGACGCGACTTCTGACTGAAACACGAACATTTGAAGTGTGTAAAACATTCAAGTGACGTTTCATACAGCAGTTTTACAGTTAATCATACTGTAAATACTCCAATTCAAGCCTTAGTATTAATGATAGAGTTGTTTAGCATGTTTGCTATCTTTTAGCCTGTTAGCTAGCTGACCAGCCTGGTTCTAGTGAAGAACATAAGTCTCCAGCTACTCAGTTTAAACAAGAACGGGTTCTTACTTCCTCAGTACACTCTGTGCTCCATGCGAGCAGCATTAGAGTCAAAGATTATTCCATTAACAGCAGAAGGGTTTTTCGTGCCGTGGCGTAGTAATACATGTTGTGAGGCAGTCATAGATGGGCGTATATCGTGGATTTTACAACGGCTTCGAGTGCAGCTCAGTCAATCGGATTTTAGGACCAGAACTATCCGTTTAACAAAAAAACTCCTTCCTTTTAAAAACCGAGGGAAATTCTCTTTTCCATGATTTGGGCCCTTTAAGATGGATGTTTTTAGCTGTGTGACTTTTGTCCATGTATAAATAACAGTATGTCATGCAGTGTCAGCAGTCAGTCTTAAATATTTGAGTCTATTTGCATGTGTTAATTGCATATCTGCATATGCTAATTGGTGGAGTTCTAAGCTCCCATTACCTTTTAGCTGTATTAGCCTCGTAGCTTCAGTGCAACTTCACATACTGAACATGTCATGGCCGATCAACTGTATCTGGAGTGAGGGTGAAAACATGATTTCTGAATCTCGTAATTCATTAATATTTCTCTTCTTTATTTCTCAGCATTAGCGGTGAAGAGAAAATGAGCGACATCTACGAGTCGGCCGCCACCTCGCTGGGCCTGTTCAGCAGCCCCTGCCTGACCAAAGTGGAGCTGCGCGTGGCTTGTAAGGGCATTTCTGACCGTGACGCCCTGTCCAAGCCTGACCCCTGCGTGGTCATTAAGATGCAGTCGCATGGCCAGTGGCTGGAGGTGAGTCTGTTTTCACTGGCTGGGCTTTTTACCCACAAAGTGAAATTCTACCTATTTTTTAAATTTCCTCATAATTAAATGGTTAAGATGTAAACAGAGTCATTCAGAGTGGTTTGGTGTGAAACGCTCCGTTCTAGATAAACTTACAGAGTCAGAATTGTTCACAGTGGAGGTGATAGGAACCAGACGTCCACCTCTAAAAGCCCCCTTACAGTAAATGGTTATGAATTCACTGCCTGATGTCTGAGACTCTGTTTTATGATAGTGGCACAAAGATAGTAAAGACAGTGGTTCTATATAGCAACAAAAAGGATTTTGTTATTGTTATGATGTCAAATTTGTACAGTGGAAGAACGCTTTTGGTGCTATATAGAACCATATCCGACACAAACTCCATCAATCTGAAGAACCATTTCATTCATGCAAATGGTTCTTTGCGTGTTTATGGTTCTATATATAACCATTTTCTTTACTTAAGTACCCTTGAAGAACCTCTTTTTTTTTTTACCATGTATATTTAAATTCCAGTCATGGCTGAGAGGTATTTGCAGGGCGCTTCCACTATTTTCCATCATCAACATTCCATATAAACTCAGAAGACTCGTGTAGGTTCACTGGTGGTTCTGGATAGTAAATAAAATGTCTACTGTAAAGACATCTGAACCATTTCACACCAAACCACTCTGAATCTCTCTGTTTACATCTCAAACACTGAATTATGGAGGAATTATGAAAAATCTGTGGAATTCCCCTTTAAATATGGAAGTGTCCTTTAACTGATTCTGAACTGTTTCTGCTGGGAAAACACTGAAATACTGTAACACTGCACTGAAGTGACTTCAGATTAAGGCCTTTAAAATAAGTCGTGTCTACATTTCCTCTCTTTAGCCCTTAAATCAAACAGGCTGCTTTTGTTACTTTGCCTTTAAGACTGATATATGTAAATGAGCTTGGTTCTGATTGGCTGCCTATACTCTGTCCTATCGGAAAGTGGTTCAAGCTGAAACATTGCTTATAACTTCAGTGTGTGTGGGTGGGGTTAAACTGCTGTAGGCTATGTTTGTGATATCACAATCAATTCAAAATGGGCTGTTTCTACAACTTAGTTTCCATATATGGACTTTATGGACTGAAATGTAAAGGGTGCTTTTTTGAAACTTTAGTAATAATAATAATAATAATAATAATAATAATTTTTATTTGTAGAGTCCTTTTCATGCCGCTGGCAGCTCAAAGTGCTTAACAGACAGCTGATAAAGCTTAACAGTAATAGAAGAAATTATAAGTATTCATTTAGAATCATATAAGAAAATGATACAGATCAGATTAAAAGATAAAGACCAAAGAGCCGTAGAGTTTTAATGAAGCGCAGTGTTTTCAGATGTTTATTAAAAGTGAGCTCTGAGCTCGACTGTCTAATAAAAGCTGAACTGAGCTCCACAGTTTAGAAGCAGAATAACTGAAAGAGTCTCTCCACGTTTTCTGTGTTTTACTGAAGGTGTTCAGAAGGTCAGAATCTGCAGATCTGAGATCATAAACAGACATTCAGGAGCTTTAAGGTCATTTAGAGCTTTAAAAACCAGCAGCAGAGCTTTAAACTCTCTCTAACAGATCCAGGCGGTCAGTGCAGTGTGTAGACGGGGTGATATGGGCTCTCTGTGTTGGTGCTGTGAGGATCTGTGCTACTGTGTTCTGTACGAATTCTAGAGGATGCACTGTTTTCTCCAGTAAGAAGATCATTACAGTGATCAACTCTGCTGAACAAATGCTGCGTCGCTCTGAGAGAGAAAAGGCTGAACTTTACAGATTTTCTCACGTGATAAAAGCTGCTTTGAGTGACTGTGTTTACATGCAGATTAGACAGAGCTCAGAGTCTTCGATCACACCCAGGTTTCTACTGCAGGTTTGGGATACGAAACTAAAGAACCGAGACTCTCATAAAGCAGCTTTCTCTGAGTTTCAGTACCAACAATCAGCATTTCTGTTTTTCATGGTTTAATTGTGAACAATTTAGCAATATTTATGTACCAAAACAATTCAGTTTTCATGCTGTGGGGCCTTTGACATATGAACCCAAGGCACATATTCAGACTATTTTTGCTGTATCAAAAAATCCATCAAAAATCTATTTTTTTTGTGTTTGTGAGATTCTCTCTCCTCTGGCTTCTCCTTCCTGTCTGAGTCATCACATCACTTTCTCTTTGCCTTTTATTCAACCCCATAATCCCCCGAAGCCTTAGTGTTTTGGGCACCTGGGAATGTTTAAGCGAGATGGAGTGAACTGGGAGTTAAATCAGAGTCCAAAAGCAAAAAAATCTGACTTCACAGCTCATGTTAGTAGTTTATGTGCAGAGCATAAGAATTAGAACAGCTAAAAAAACGAAAAGTTTGGCAGAGTTTCTCCTTTTTCTGCTTTATTAGGAGAACCGTCTGACTGCTGTGCTTAAAATGTCACATAATAGATCCATTTATGATCTAATGATGGGTTCTAATCAGCTCTGACAGTAATTATCCATTACATTCTGCATGCATGCTGAGAGTTATAGAAACTCATAGCAGAAAACTCACTACTCAAACGGCTTAATTGCAATCAAGCATAATAACTTTGCCAAAACTTTTCTGTTGCCTGGAGTCTGTTTACTGCATTTTCCAGCAAAATGAAAAGGAAAATGATCTAAGGTGTGAAAAAACAGATGAAATATGACTGACTTGAAAAGAGCCAGTTATTAAGAGCATGGCGAGTATAGACTACTGCTCATCTGTGCTTCAGTGTTATAGCACAAATGTCTACATCAGGATTGGACAGTGTTGCTGTTTAGTGCTGATGCCAATGCATTATTATTAATATTATTATTAACAACACAGGGAATACTCATCTCAGTGAATGGGGAGAGACCTGTAGACACCAAACCTGAACAAGAAAACTACATTAACATTTCAAAAACTAATTTAAAAGAAGTGCAAAAGTATATGCAAATGTTTGTGCACCCCTGGTCATGTATTTGTTGATTTTCTAAGTGTAAATAAGTTACACGTCGTTGTGTTAAAGTTTCACTTAGAAAATCAAGAAAATAAATAAATAGATGTATTTTGACTTGGGATGTTCAAACTTTTGCATGCAGCTAAATGTTTAGATCAAAATATACAAAAATGTGTTTTTCAGGTTGTTCTTGCTACTACATGTGCGTATATCTCAACTACAAAGGGGCTTATTATTATTATTATTATGATTATTATATACTCTGCCATTCACATAGTGGGACCGCTGAGTGCTGAAGTGTGTAAAAAATGGTCCATTGTCTGTTAAAATCACTCACTACAGAGTTCTAAACTGCCACTGGATGCAACATCAGGGCAATAACTGTGAACCGGGAGCTTCATGAAATGGGTTTTGATGGCTGAGCAGCTGCACATAAGCCTAAGATCACTGTGCGGAATGCCAGGCGTCGGCTGGAGTGGTGTAAAGCGCCGCCACTGGACTCTAGATCAGTGGAAACGTGTTCTCTGGAGTGATGAATCAGCTTCTCTATCTGTCAGTCTGATGATGAATCTGGGTTTGGTGGATGTCAGGAGAACGTTACCCACCGGAATGCAGAGCCAACAGTACAGTTTGGTGGAGGAGGGATGATAGTCTGGGCTGTTTTTCAGGGTTTGGGCCCCTCAGTTCCAGTGAAGGGTGATGCACACAGACATTTTACACAATTGTACGCTTCCAACTTCGTGGGAACAGTTTGGGGAAGAGCCTTTCCTGTTCCAGCATGACTGAGCCCCAGTGCACAAAGCAGCTCTATGAAGACGTTGTGTGACCACGTTGTGTTTGGTATGGAGGAACTCCAGTGGCCCTCACAGAGCCCTGACCTCAACCCCACTGAACACCTTTGGGAAGAACTAGAATGCAACTGTGGGCCAGACCCTCTCGTCCAACATCAGATGCTCTTTTGACTGAATGAATTCCCACAGATACACTCCAAAATCTTTTGGAAGGGGGGGCCAACTCCAAATTAAAGCCCATGGTTTTGGAATGGGAGGTCCAACAAGCTCATATAGGTGTGATGATCAGGTGTCCACATACTTTTGGACATATAGTGTATTTTCACTATATATTAACAGATAAATGATAATCCATTGCTTGGGAATGATGCTTCATAACAGTGTCATAAATGGAACAAATGTCACTTTAGTTTAATGGCCCTTAAGTCTACAATCTGCAAGTGGACGTGGAGGGGCGTTGTCTTGTCATGGTAAGGTAAAGTTTGATAATTTGTTTTTATTTAGAATATGACATAAGTATTTGTTGTTCTGTAGCGAAAATGTAGTTTATTACAATTTAACACCTAATTTTTTGACCATTTTCAACACAAGGGCACCAAAATTCCCAATAAAACTCCAGGCCACTGTTCCAAAACCCAACCCTGCACATCTCTCAGGCTTCTTGTTGCCGTGTAGATACGTGTGCGAATGCTAATGTGTGTGAAATTTGCTTATATTTCGAGTAAATGAAATATTGGTGAGAACATGCACAACTGCACAGGGAGGTTTACACAGCTGGGGTTTGAGATGTGAATAAATTATGTAAAAAGTGAGAAAACATTGCCGCTAAGTGGATCTGAGTAGATAAAATCATGCAGCTGCAGCAGAAGGAGGTGATGTTGGATGGTCTTGAGTGTCAGCTCAGGTTATTATTATCCAGAAAGTGTGCAACAGCTGCAGTTTATGAAGTTAAATCCAATGAATGTTAACACTGATTTCATGTATGATGTATTACTCTGGGATGTATCATTATAAAGCCCATGTTGAGTTTGGAATGTTTCTAAAATCTTGGGAAAATTACATGCATTATGTATAGGTCATACAAATGATGCACACGCAGACATGGACCAAATATCCACAGCTTTAGTGTTACTGTGGCATCATCATCCTCAGACAACAGCGGCCACTACATAACTTATTCATGACTGAGTCACACTACATGAGTACCCTTAAAATCAATATTTAATACC